TGAATTATGCAAACGTCACTTCATAAACTTTGACGCTTGCCTGTATTAAACTGAATATGAAAGACCAATGTTCATGTTGCGACAGATCGGGGGTTTTTTAATAGTATTTTCAGCTGTCCAGATGTAAACCAAACAGGAATATGTCAATAGTTAGTGGTTTATATTTTTAAATGCCTCTTTATAAATGTCCAGGAAAGTCTACAAACTGTGTAACGAGGGGCAGTGTGCCGGACACCACTGAGGGAAATGATATTAGACCAGCGCTGTGTGTAGAAATTACAGTTAGTGTAGCTGGCCAATGAGAATATACATTGAATTTAACAAGTGTAAGATACCACAAACAATTCTACATCCATCCAGCTCAATTAAAGCTCTTAATCGGGAATTCGTTTTTTAAAATTATTTTATGATTCGATAAAAATAATTGTTATAAATGGGTCGACACTAATTACACAAACTCATAAATATGACTTGTGTTTTATGATATGGTCATGGTCTTGTTCTCTACCACTGCGGCTCTAATGAAGAGGCCAAATCTGCAAATACTGATGCTATCAGGGAGACATGCGGCCTAACCTTTTGTGTTATTACTGTATTCATATATTTCAATTTTCAAGCCAAATTATAGGTATAGATTTACTGTGTCCGGTTTTTTTTTCCGCTCAGTGAACTGACATTGCATTAAGCCTATTAAATATTTGCTGCCTTTAAATAATTTCCAGAGGTTAAGTTGGGAGATCAGAAGTGAGGCAATAGTTTTAGGAAGAGCAAACACACATGATGAACCAGTGAACTGAAACCAGAACAGCCATTCATTGACTAATGCACATACACACGCACGTGATTATCCCAAACTGGCCAAAAGAAGACAATCCGAATAAGACATTTCCGTGTAAATTTGTTTTGCAACAAATCTAAACGTTTTATTACACATTACATTGTCATTAAACTGTTATAACATTGTAATAACATTGACACATCAGCGGTTGCCTTAAATAATCACTGCTAAATAGCTGAAAACGTTAGAATATCTGTGTGCATGCACGTGCAGTTTCATGTACACACCTGTTCTACACAAGTATACTCGAAAGTCCTGCGGATAGCGCTCAGCTCTCAGGGCTTTCAAGAGCGCCGGGGTCAATACATCAATGCGCTTCCCGTTCTCTCAATCTCATCCCCTTTTACTCATCCCTTCTTTGCCCTCTCTCAACCGCCTGTCTTTGCGTACAGTACCTTTGCACAGAGACAGAGGAATACATAATAACAAAAAAAAAATCAAGAAACAGCATCCCACTCTGCAATGTACAGAAGATGCTAACGATAAGAATCGATAACAATTTGCGAGCTTATTGAACAAAAGCAACAGTGAGTGTAATTGATTTTTTTTTTCTTTTGACACTAAAATTGCATAATAATTGAACATTTAATCCTAAAGAGAATGTAAAAGGGTCGGTCTACGCGTGTTCCTTCTTTTAGTGCGCGATTATCTCTGTCAATATTTACAACGGTGAAATAGAATCGCAGCACATTTCAATTGATATTCTCATAACAGGGCTCACTTCGTACACCATCACGCGTTCCAGCACAGAGACGTGTCCGATGGAAACAACGTCTAACATCTGCTAACTGCATAAATGTACACAAAAGTGATATGGCCTAAAAGAAATGGAATTATTATTGTTATTATTCGGCAATAATGTGTTGTTTCGCATAGGTTGCTGCAGGAGTTGTGCTCTTGGCTCAGGCCTCGGTTCTCTCGCCCTGCCCTTGAGATTGTGCAGACACATGGCAGATAATGTTCTGACACCAGAAACTGAAAACCGTCAGGAAATCCTAACAACACTCTGCCTCGTCCTTCTCTCGTGCTCTGGAGAAGAGTGGCAAAGCTCTCACAACACGCTTAACTTACTGTGAAGTCTGTGAGAGAGTCGCCCTGACCGCTCGTACGCTTCTGAACGCACTGCAGTGCCTAATCGGATATGCACTTGCTCTACGCGTTGTTTTTTTTGTTGTTTTTTGGTGGACGGATTTATTTTAAACCCTAATTTCAACGTCCATACTGTAATAATAACAATGCGTTTGCACATAGTTCAATCAGGCTAGTTGTCGCATCTCAAGAACTATTAGAGTCAATTGCACAACTTCTTGTTTGCATGTTGACACCTGGGTTAAAACTGTTTAAAATTAGAATGATTTGTGTAAATTCTGCCCTCCAGGCTAAAATTACAACATCATCATATTTTGTAAAAAGCAGTGGTGCAACAAGCAAAGACAACAAAACTGCACTGGCATAAAAGACAAGAGGCAATACTGGACTCTGTTTTGTGAAAAGCAATAAGATGGAAACGTTCGATAGCTTTTCCGCAGTTAGTGTGTTCCTTTTCAGAAATTGGTTTTAAAATAAACTGCAAGTGTGACGACTGCATAGTTTTTAGTATTACACTGTACTTGCATAATTACAGTGACATGAACACAATAATCGCGAAATAGGCCTATACATCCTCGTGGTGTCACACTGGGCTAAAAACGCTTGCACTTTTTTTTTTTAATTATGAATCGTATGGATATTACCAAACAATATGAACACTAGTCGTTAAATTGGTTCTAAATATGAAAAAGTGTGTTGTCTTGAGTGGCGGAAGGGTTAATTGTCCTGTTCCCACAGTCTGGGCTTTGAGCGCAAGGTCAAAGATCTCATTTTACCGAGCGCACGTGCGCGCTGGATTCTGCTCGAGTCAGCACGCGAGGCGCTGCAAATCCTGCAGGTCGCAACACAAGCGAAGGCCTTCACACACACCGAGAGAGAGAGAGAGAGAGAGACTTAGCACGCATTCTGCTTTTAGCTTTCTTTCTTTTTGCAAATTATATAAAAACGCCCCTTCATATTTGATATAGCTTACCAAAATAACGCGCTCTACAGAAAAGCATTTCAAACTTTGAGAAAGAAGGCGTGTCTCGGATATTTTACCTTATCAAGCAAAGGTTTCTAAATATATTTCAACAAAACAAGGTTTAATCCTTCCCGCATAATTCCTGCATGTGGTTCGCTCGAGCTCAAAGTTCAGCGAGAGACGAACAACAAAAAACAAGCCATCGAAAAGATCGTTCCTCCGTCGTATTTTCAATAAGCTTGATCGATGACTAACCGATTGCACTGGATTGAAGTGAGGCATGAGAACAGTGCGGCGTACAGTAAAGCGAAATCTTGCGCAACTTGGACACACACAGGGATGGACGCATACAAATGAGTTGCTACCAAATCAATGTCGTTTCACTGACTTTAATAAGCAAAATAGGAAACCATTTCTTCCAAAAACAGCAAAAACGAAACAGAAACCAGCCTGAATGGAACAGTCCGAATTGAACTTATTCTTCTTCTTTTTTTTCATTTATATAAACAGATTTGAAAATTGATCCCCTCATAATAGCATGAAATTAACAAACAGAACAACAACCCGCTGCTGCAGTTTACATTTGATTTCAACACAGTTGAATCAGTAATAAACCAAAAAGATTGTTAAATGCATGACTTTTTAACAACATTTCTTAGATGCAAGCACCATGCTTATTCAAATATGATCTGACAAGTTTGTTAATTTAAATCATTAAAATAAAAACTATGCATCTGGCCAGCAGAACCAGAATCTCGACATAATAATAAAACAAACAGAAGAAAGAAAAAAAAAAAAACATAAAAAGAACAATAACATGAGACATATCATTTTTCATTTTGAGATTATGCAGAACCTGAATCCCTTATTTTTTACTGACCGGCAGAAAAAAAAATAAAGGAAAACATTTAACATTGATCATTGAAACTCTCCATTGAAATACATGCGCAGTTTTCATGTTAGGCAATAATACACAAACCCCTGATTTAGGAAGCCTGACACCCTCGAGCTGGATTATAATAACTACATTTTGAAATGTTGGTTTATAAAACTGGCAGCTCATATAGCTCAACAACAACAAAAATATAATAATAATGATGATGAAAGGGTGCCCATTCTTTGAAATCCTATCCATCAAAAAGATACGACCTATAAGAATTACTTATATTATAGAATAGCAATAGATTATGCAACAGCCTGCATGAAGGGGAAAAACGCGCGCGCACTTTTGTGTCTCGCTACAATCAGACATGACGCTATGAGCATCAGTCCAGACGAAGCGCGTGCTTTAACGTCACCTGTGTAATGTCTGCTCTTATAAGACAAAACAAAGAAACAATCAAAAAGACGAAAGGAAAAAATGCCAATCCCAAAATCATAGCCCCCCCATAAACAAAAGTGCGCTTCTTTTAAAACGTTTGCTTACTTTAAATGCAACCGCTAAATGCCCATTACTGGAAATCCATTCCCAAAAACATGAAACAAATCATAAACGATGGAAAACAATCAGCTCTTCGATGTCGGTTTGTAGGTTTGCTGTTGCATATATTTACAAGTCCAAAATGAACCCATACAATGAGCCAGTCTCACATCCCCCCGAAAAAGAGCTAAAGATCAAAAACATGCTCTTTATGATACATAATGACCAGAAAGAAAGAAAGAAAGAAAGAAAGAAAGAAAGAAAGAAAGAAAGAAAGAAAGAAAGAAAGAAATGTATAAAATAGAAATTATTACCATACATGTCCAGCATGCAGGATTAATATCTTAATGCAGATTTATGTGTTTGTTTTTGTCGTTTTTTTTTTTTCCTTTTCTTTTTAATATATATATATATATATCTATATATAACCAAGCAGGCAATAAACCAATGAGATGTTGCATAAAGTCCCCCTGTCGGGTTACACAGGAGAAGTAAGGGAGGTTTTGCATATTGTGGCGCTCTCAACTTTTCTGGCCAAGTTGGGGGGGAAAGTCCAAAGTTTCTCTTTTTCGCTTAGCACAGATTCTTTTCTTTTTTTTTTCTTTTTTTTTCATGAACAACCGAGAACAAAACCAGGTGGACAGAAGGTCTTATCTGAAGGTTTTATCCTAAATACAAAAAAAAAAAAAAAAGAAAAAAAGCCACTTCTTCGCTTTTCTTTTCTTGTCAGATCTCTACGAAAATGGGTAAAAGTAACTACAAGCAACTAATCTACATTTCCCAGAAAACATTCTAACATGTTCTTAGTTGCCGAGGTCGGTGGCGATGATTACATATGCGGTTATTATTTCTCGTGGTTATTCTTCTAATAGGAGCAGTACTGTATCTGTGTAATGTCTCAGTCTCAGGCATAAGAAGCGCACTGCACTCACATGAAGAACTCTGGAGAGGACGGGTTGTCGCTCGTGGATCCTGCCTCGCGGAACCCGTTCGCTCCGCTCAGTTTCTCGCACTTGAGTTTGTAGGCGTCTCTCTCTCGGGCCAGCCGGTTGATCTCTTGCTTGAGCTGCTCTACCTGGTTGATGAGCTGGGTCTTCTCGTTCTCCAGCACGTGCTTCTGCTGCACGCGCTTGTAGCGGCACGACTGTGCGTAGCCGCGGTTCTTCAGGGTCCGGCGTTTCTGCTTCAGGCGGATCACCTCGTCCTTGGTGAAGCCCCGCAGGTGTCGGTTCAGCTCCCGTACGGACATGGACACCAGCTGGTCGTCGGAGAAGCGGTCCTCCACGTTCAGGCCGTGGTGACCCTGCTGGCCCGGGTGTCCGTGCGGGTGGTGATGGTGGTGGTGGCGGTGGTGGAGCTGCTGGGGCGAGCTGGGAGAAGGGCTGTCGGGGTCCTGACTGTGGTGGTGGTGGTGGTGGTGTTGATGTTGGTGGTGGCCAGGGTGAACTGGCAGGTCGTCGGGGTGATGCGGGATCGCGCCATATTGGTGATGGTGCTGCGGCTGCTGCTGCTGCTGTTGCGCGTGGCCGTGGTGGTGGTGATGCGCGCCCCTGTATCCCTCAAAACCTCCCGCTTGCAGCTGCTGCTGCACATGAGGGGGCGGAGGGTGCCCGTGGGCCGTGGCACCGATCAAAGCCTCCACCGCGTCTTCGGGCGTCAGGCTTAGCGTCTGCGGGTCGATCTGCTGCGGGTACGCGCCGCTGGGCATCCAGTACAGCTCCTCCAGATGGTTCTTCTGCTCCGTGGGGCTGAAGCTCGGGGAGGACGGCACGGAGCTGCACGGGGTGCTGATCGGAGTGGAGGACACGGAGCCCTGCGGCTGGAGGCGGTTGCACTGCCGTATATTGGAGCGGTCGAGCCCCGCCAATGCCTCTTTCTTCACCTCGAATTTCATTAAATCAAAGTCATTGACATATTCCAACGCCAGCGGGCTGGTGGGCAGCTCGGGCCCCATGGCGAGATCTGCGCTCATCGTGTCCCTGTTCTTCAGCAAAGGGTTTACCAACGTCGCAAAATCCGACTTTTGCCTTATTTGCGCATGCAATATTTCTGGATGGGTTTCCGAACGCGACGCGCTCGAGCGCATACAGTGTCACTCGGAAATGTTCAAACAGCAAAAGAAAAAAAGAGAAAACTTTCAGGACTAATGCACTGCAAAAGACATTTGCCTCATATGGACGAACAGACCTCGACTTTCAGCTGCAGGCTTTTGGAGTCTCTACTCGCAGGACTGGAGGAAGGGGAAAAAAAAAGAAGAAAAAAAGTCAAGTTTCTCTCTCGCGTCCCGTCGCCGCACTTGAAGTCAAAGCATAAATAAAAGACACAAATGAGTACCGGAGAAGGGCTCCCGTCCCGATCCCGGATACTCCAGAAATATGTCCTTAAGCCAGCGACGTGTGCTGTGTTTCTCCAGCTCTGCACCGCAGAGAGTTCAGCTCGCTCTCACTCCTGAGTATTCAGACTGTAGCAGGACGCCAGACCTCTCCGCGCTGTTATAGTGTGCGCGCGCGTGACGTCAGAGCGCCTGGCGACCAGTGAGATCGGCGGGATTAGCATAAAATGATCGTTGTTTGTGTGTTTGTCAGCTGACGGGATGAAGAAAGGGACAGTGATATTTCGCGTATGGTCTGATTGGATATGGTAAAAGAAAAAGTACAACATGTACTGTGTTATATTTAATATAACATGCAAGTCATATTCTTATGAAAACACGCACTTCAAATTAGTTTAAGTGAACCTTTAAAGTAAAGACAAAACCTTGAGAGGATGCATGACTGTTTTATTTTAAATAGATAGCCTATTAGTCTGAAACATACAACTGCAGGTTGTTTCATCAATCAATATTCAACACAATCTTAATAAATTGCAATAATAGTAGCCTAAAGCTTGTATGCATTGTGGCAAAACTTAAACAAACATGTTTTGAGTAATCTCAACTCAACAAGTTTTCATGTGATTTACAAGGAAGATAAATCCCCGTCCCTCCCCTCCCCTCCAGTCCCTCTAAATGGTTTTATTGCTTAGCATGTTTATTAAACTAGCCTATATAAATATATATTACAAACACGGAGAAAGTCAAAGTCGTTGCTGTCGATGATTTGAATGATGATGCTGATGATTTCTGTAAATGAGGACGCCGGCGAGACCCATCAGGTGTGTGATTTTGTTATTAGTGACTTGAATTTTCAAAGGTGAAAGGCTGGTCTTGCGCTGCGCGTGACGCTGGATTGACGAAAACTCACCCAACGCTGCCCTCATGTGGCGCGCATGATCACTGCCGCGCGCTCAGCTCGCGCGCAGTTGCAGCCTTATATTATATAGGGCTATTCGACTGTAAGATGAGTGACTTTATCTGTGAATAAATTGAAACTGTCAATGAGAATAAAGAAATAATTGATAAATCTCTGAACTTGGAAGACCTAAAACGTGCGTGCGTAAAAGACGCAATGTGCTTTAGTGTTTTGGTCATCTTTCATGACAGGCGCATGGTTAGCGTCGTTTAAGCCTATTGATTATTAGTGTTAGGCACACAAACACATTATTTATTCATTAAAAGTGCTTACAATATTTCAATAAGTAGCTATAATGTCAGTAATAAAAAACCGTAATAAAAGACCTATTGCTTTTATCGTTTTTTTTTTTCAGCGTCTGTCTTGATCTTCTATCTATTAGGCCTATATATTTGTTGTTGATTATTCAATAACAATTCCTCCTTCCCTTCTCCACCCAAAACCCTTATTAATTTTGTTGTTGTTGTTGACTTTTGACGCATTTTGATACATTTTACGATTTGCCATATTGCATTTTTGCTAACTATGTTGTCTTTGATCAGAAATTAAAAGAGTTGACTTTAAGAAACAGTCGCAGAAATTATCCTGCTAAACCTTAGCAATCCAACCAGACCGGACAGTTTATTTAGTCAAATAAAAACTGTACAGAATAGGCTATAGCCGATATTGTATTCTTTTCTTTATTATTTAAGCGACACTCACTTCCGTATCACTCCACATATAGGCTTGCCACATATAGGCTAGCCTGTATATAATTATTTTAATATATTTGATAAATAATTATTTAAATTGTATAATTTTCCGCACTACCATCAAAAGTAATGTTTCATGTTTTCGGTCATTGCGATTTTTACTCACCCATATCACAAACAATAATGTCACTGCATCGCATCTCCACGTCAACTACAAAGCCAACAGTGAATTCTTTCATCGATATTAAATAATAAAGAGCCCTAAATGTCAGATCATATCGCGTCACTCCAAAGATCATAACTCAGTGGAGGAAACATGTTGAGTCCGCCGGTACCGCGGGCCCGTCTCATCACGCGCGCGGGCCCGTACAGTCACGCGCGCTCTGATTCCCTCAGACTCGCCTCCACTGGTTCCTCTCTCTCTCTCTCTCTCTCTAATGGAGAGGAGATGCCGAAAAACTCTCCTGTCAGCAGCATATTGGTGGTTAATGATCTATTAAGTGATCCTCTTGCTTATGGTTAGCGGAAAAAGTGTTGATGCACGCTTATTTGGCCTAATGAGATTCCCATCCTACGAATTTTAGGAATGAATAAGAGAAATAAAATCAGCTCAGAGATGTTTCTAAGAGCAGTTGTCAAAGCGAGAGGTTGTGGAGCGTGTGCCGGTGAAAGCATCAGGCCTGAGACATTGGGCTTGGGAAGAATGCTGTTCTTGAGGGCTTTTTATTTTTTATTTTTTACCGTTCATAAGGACATATAGGACTTTCAGCTGTGGACATCCCGATAAGTAAGAAATATCGATATTTGTAACTATATCTGAACTTGTGGAAGTGTGAAGACAAGTGGATTTTGCTGTATTTTCTGTTTTTGTTTAAAACATTGCAGAAGACTTTTGAAAAAAGCAAAGGCACGTTTAATATTGAATGATTTCATCAGATCAATGCGCGTGCGCGCGCGCGTGTGTGTGTGTGTGTGTGTGTGTGAGAGAGACAGACAGATAGACAGAAAGTATTCTCTAGTTTCCTCGTCATCTTCCTCACGGGACACACACAGGCGGTTGCGAAAGGCTTGTGCTCTGCTTTCTAGAAGAGTAAAGTGGGAAACAAAATACATCATCTATTAGGAGAGATGGGTATCAATATGTAACAGACATGGCTAAAAGAACTTGAACCAATTTGGAACTACTGATATAATATCAATTACAGATCCAATTCTTATTCTTATTTCCAGTCAACGTGTCATGAATTTCATCTGTAAAAAAGACCCTTCTCATAGGCCTATTTATATTCTTAATAGTATGTAGGATGTTACTAATTCGTATACTGTTGGTTATCAACAGCTTTAAAAGTAAAATGCACAAAATGTATTTATGTCGCAAACCAATAAAAACAGTATTATTATTAGGGTATTACATAAATCTAATGTAGGCATAGGTAATAATAAATTACCAATGGCGTTTAAGAACAATTAAGAGATTCATGCTTAAGTGAAGTTTCGAAGCAATAAAAACGTATAAATGCGTTTAAAACATGTGTTTAAAAATGTCATCTGAAATCTCTTAAAGGCAGGCAACAATGCTTTCAAATATGAAAAACAAAAAAAGAAAACAACGAAAATGACTAGCACTTGATGTAACGATACATCCAGAGGTATTTAGACTTACAGGCCATCGGAGTAGAACAAGAAGATAGGCGAGTCCGAGTGCGCTTGATCTGATATAAAATGTCTCGAACTGTGATGCTGATGAAATCGGAAAGCGAACCACTTTTACCAACCGATTAACTTTATAACGAGCAGCCGAGAGATTTACAAGAGTGCGACGCCCCTAGTGGAGACAGCCTGGATACACACCTGGGCACAGCGAAATCACGCCTGCTACTTCTCTTTCTTTCTTTATTCTAACGCAGATACATACAAACAAAGAACAGATAAACGAATAAATAAATAAACGAATAAATAAATTTCAAGTTCTGTGAAAACAAAGTGACTCATTGGTTCTGTTAGAGAAATGACATGTAACATTAGATATCCACCGAATGAGACAAATTCACTACAGACCCACAAAGCAATGGCTTATTTGTGATTGCAATTATTTTATTAGAAAATGTGCATGCATTAGTGTTTCTGACATCAGTGTGTATTACAGTATTGGACGCTTTGTTCTAATACTGCCCCACGTAAATACTAATGCTTTTGCACGGTTTTATTAAAAATGCATGTCTATTAATATAAATAAATAGATTGTCTCCTCAGTTGTTAGTAAAGATAACAGTTGAGTTTAACGCGCCTTTATAAAACACGACGCCGTCAATCAAAGAGGGCTTTGAATTAGGCGATAATATAATGACTGATGAGGGAAAAGTTAAGGATATAGCTATTAGAAATGGAATTATGGTTTATCTTTGGTTTAAGGATTCTGTCTGACCTACATGATAATCACCACCTCATTATCATCAATCATCGTAATATACTGCCTTTATTATTAATATCCATAATTTACTATATGAATACACGTAAAAGAGACCTAAAATACAGGGGTAGCCTATTTAAAAACAGGCTATAAATAATTGAGGGCAGGGGAAAAAAATATTTCAGAATATGTGGCATTTGGACTTTGTGGCAAATGAAGCGGTCATTATTATTATATGGGTTATTCGTACGATCAGATGCACTTTTTTCCACTCGTTGTGGTTTTACATTATGCCATGCGTTTATTTCACAAAACGTCTCAAAAGCGGTAAAACATACAATTTTTATATTCTTTACATCATTTCAAGAGCTTTGTGTTATTCGTGATATTTAGCAGCACAAAATAGCGTCTGTTTTGAAAAAAAAGAAAAAAAGAAAAAGTAAATGCATGTAGCGTTGTGGCAGTAATATGATTAAAAAAATAGAGCACACGTTAAATGTCATGCAAAATCAGCTTTTATCAATTATTTAGGCCTACTTAAGATTTTGCGCTGAATCCAAAATTCAGTCAAATGTGAATATAGCGAGCCTTCATGTGTGGCGTAAAAACAATACTGGCTGCGTAATGAGTAACCGAGGACGCTATTTTAGGCTATTTAAATGTTATAAATAGAGCAGTATTGTAAATAGAAAAGCAAGAGGTGCATGCTCAGATTTCACACATTAAAGCGCACTGATCTCACTATAACGTGAATTTAGGGTAATATGTAGCCTACACTTTCAACAATTTACTATAGCTCTCAACGAAAACCAAAAGCGATTTTTTTTATATAATGGTAATGCAACACAGACTTGGTATGTGTCCCACATTACACTGTGTCCCAAATTCCCCGAATACTGGTAGAGTTTTGACAGAGGATACAGGCTGCGAGAGAAAGCGATGGGAAACGAGAGGAAAGCGCGCGCACTCTCCAAGAGCGCGAATAATTCTGAGTTTGGAGACAGAGAGCGCGCGCGGTGACGAAGGCGGATGAGCAGAAGAGTAGGAGAGGTGAGAATAAAAATAAAAAAAAGAAAAGAAAAAGAAATGCTTGCTAAAAATCATTAATCTTGCCGGGATCTGTCACGGCACGCCGGCGACACAAAGAGGGTCCAGAGAGTCGGAGCAGTGAAGTCAGTGACCCGCTGCCAATTGCTTGTGAAAAGCCCACCAGCCTTTAATAGACTTTTGCTGATCCGAC